TGAAGTAAAAAAAGAAACGGGGCAAAAACACCCGGTGGGCCGGATAAATGTCCTCGGTGGGCTGCATGTGACCCGCAGGCCTCAGTTTGAGGACGTTTGATGTAGATCAATGTGGAGAATACTGACAGCTTAACAAGTCTGACTCTTCACTCCCATGGACGCAAGGTGTCCTTTTGATTTAGTTGTTTAAGTATTTTGATTTAATTCTTTCAGTTATGTTTTGTATGAGTCTTACACTATTTAATGCTTTCTCAACTATTCTAGTCTTTTTATGCTATTGTAACCATTTACATTTGTTTTCTAAATTTTTAAGATGGTTCATTGTTCACACATATAAGAGTATGTGAAAAAATGATTGCTAAAAATTATAGAGCCCGTCATTAAACAAATGCATACAAATGTGAAGCTATTATTTTTTGGCATATTCTCCCTCTAGGTCTTAAGGCAGTGGTTCCATCTCTCTAACCCTTCCCAGAAGAATTCTACATCCTCCCACAACTAAATTAAAAACCAGCCCACAGAATAAAAAGAAATATTTACAAATCATTTATTTGATAAGGGATTTTTGTAATCAGATTATTTAACTCTTATTTGTATTCAGATTATATGACTCTAATAAAAGGATAAGATAATCCGTTTGAAAAATGGACACAGGATTTGAATAGACGTTTACTGAACTGGCCAATAAGAAAAGAGGCTCCGCATCCCTCTTAGGGAGCTACAAATCGAAAGCACAGTAAAGCTAGACAATAACAAATGTTAAAAGGATGTGGGCACGTTGGGAGTCCTTGTATAACAGCATGAATGTAAAGTGGTACACCTGCTTTGGCAAACAGTTTGGCAGTTCCTCAAAATATGAAAGTGTTGTCCTATGAGCCAGCAATGGCCGCTCTGAGGTACAGACCTCAGCGTTGAGGACATGCATCTATTCATAACAGGTGAACGTAGAAATGATGTTTCTACTTTGTTCATCAACTGACTAATAGATAAATGAACTGTCACCCATCCCCTAAAATGGAATATTATTTGACAACAGTAAGAAATGAAGTCCTGACATAAGCTTCAACATGGACGAACCTTGAAAAACAGCATTCTGAGTGAAAGCAGCTAGTCACAGAAGACCATACAGTATACGGGTGCATTTACACAGGCAAGTCTACATTGATAGTAAGTAGATTAGCTTTTGCCAGGGGCTGATAGGAGCCAGCAGAGAGAAGTGAATGCTAATGGGTATGAGTTTATATTTACAGGGAGAGAATTTTCTAAAGTTATATTGTAGTAATTATTACATATGGAGCCCTGGTGGTGCAGTGGTTAGGTGTTGGGCTATGCTTTGCATGGTTAGCAGTTCAAAACCACCAGCAGCTCTGAGGGAGAAAAACTGGGCTTTCTACTCAAGTAAACAGTTACAAACTCAGAAACATGGGGTCACTATGAGTCAGCATTGACTTGATGGCAGTGAGAATCGTCACATGACCTTGTGAACAGACCAGCAAACACTGACGAGTATAACGTGGGTGAAATGTTCATTATACAGCTGCACTATCTTTCTCAAGTGATCGATTTCTTACCTTTCTTTGGCTTCCTTGAGTGCGATTTCAAGCCTTTCTACCTTCTGGTTTCCTTCTCTTAGACAAAGCAGAAGCTGGCTCACAGTTAATTCCTCAAATTCCAAATAGTTCCTGGCTCCTTCTGCACATTTGCTCCTACATGAAGACAGTATCACTTTCAGTATAAAGGTTCAAGGTTTTCATCCAAAATGAGAACAGTAAAGTCTAACAATAGAGTAGCCTAATGTAGGCGGGCCCTGGGTTGCAAACATCTGACCTAAGGACATCTCCTACATGCCCTTTAATAGTCTATGAATTTTGAAGCAATTGAACCATCCTCTCTTCGTTACAAATTCTTTATCTCAATCACCCTTGACTTGCTGAAGGTTCAATTTTTAAATCATTGAAAAGACTTTGAATCTCTTCTGAGACTAAAGTTAGGTTATAAAAGAACTCCATGCACTCATCTACAGAGACATAGAAACAAATCTCATTTATAACCCAGAGCCAGCAAGTATAAGTGGAATCAACCAAAAGGAACTGTCTAATAAAACATTCCACCATTCACTCTTACAGGTGAGGTTCAGCTGGCCTCACGAGCTGACACACTCCTCTGCGCTCCCCAAGGCAGGGATGGGGAACTAAGAGGCTACAGTGAGACTAACTTACACCTGCAAGAACTCACTTCCTCCAAATGGTCATGGTGTCCACACGTCTGACCACAAAGCCCAGGCCAAGTAGCTCCATAGACACAGCCCTCCCTTCAGAGGCCAGGTTTATGTAGAGGTCAAATCCCAAAGAAGTTACCAAGAAGACAAAAAATACAGACATACAAGGGTGGAAACCCCCACCCCCCCAAATGGCATTGCACTGGGCGGAGCAGAGCTTTTGTAGTTTCTAGCTAGGTGAGCATTGAGCAATTTGCTCTGAGTTTGTACACACAGTGGCATCGCCTGGAAAGGTTCTCTCTGGTTACAGTGAATTTTTGTGTACAATCAGCTTCACTCGAGGCTCCTTTTCTGTGATGGATGATTTAAAGAACAGTGTGCAGCTGTGAAATTTTGTTTCCTGCTTGGGAAAAATGCTGCAGAAACTGTTGTGATGTCGAACACAGCTTATAAAGACAGTACTCTGGGAAAAACTCAAGTGTATGAGTAGTTTTCTTGTTTCAAAAAAGGTGACACGTTGATTGATAAGAAACCTCATTCTGGATGCTGGTCAACTTCCTGAATGAATGGAATGTCGACTGGTCGTGCACTTGGAGTTTTTCCACCAGGTCAGACTGTTTGGGAAATGAAAGGGTTGAAAATAGCATAGGTTGGGTCAGGTGCACCTTAGTGACACCTTTGCTCTTTACACTTGAAAAGAGAGAGGTCCTTGTAAGCTGGGTTCAACCTCACAACAGTTTATGCAGCACACTGTTACACAATCTTTTCAGAACCTCTAAATGAAACGCTTGATGAACAGTCTGACCTGCTGGAATGAACTCCAAATGCACTATCTCCCTCACAACAAAAAACAAATGAGCATCATCTTGATCTTTGATTTCACTTGATGAGCTTTTTTTGGGTGAGGTGCCGATGGATGGCATCTTCCATGGGCTTGATTGATGTTTGCTTTCAGGGTCGTAAGAAGAGCACCAGGTTTCGTCACTAGTAATGACCTTGGAAAAAAAAGTCTGGGTTGCTTCGGAGCTGTTCTTTCAACGCTTGGCATGTTTCCACTGGATGATCTTTTTCCTGGTCAGTCAGAACCTGAGGCACAAATTTTACAACGTCCCTTCTCATTCCCAAACTTCCATTAAAATTCACCGAACCAAGCTCCAAGATAGTACAGATAACGTCCCCATCTCTTCAACGGTCCATCATTGGTCTTCAAATACAAGTGCATGGATTTTGTTGACATTTTTGTTCATTGGGAAGGTGACAGACATCCAGAATGAGGTTTATCATCGATCAACATTTACACCTTTTTTGAAATGAGAAAACCACTTGTACACTTGAGTTTTTCTCATAGCACTATCCTTGTAAGTTGTGTTCAACAACACAACAGTTTCGGCGGCATTTTTCTGAGCAGGAAACAAAATTTCACAGCTGCACGCTGTTCTCTTAAATCATCCATTACAAAAGACAAGGATCGAGCAAAACTGTTTTTATGAAAAAATTCACTGTGACCAGAGAGAACCTCTCCAGGTGACACCACTGAGTGCACTAACTCAGAGCAAGTTGTTCTATCTTCTCCTAGCAGGGGCTAAGATGCATACTACGAAAGCTCCGCCTAGCAGAGCTTTTCCCCCCTGTTTTTGGTACCCCTCATATATTCTAGAAAAATAAGAGCTGTGACACAAATAGACACGCAAACTCATGTTTCCAGTAGCATTAGCCACACTAGCAAAAAGACAGAAACAATGTATGTGAGGCCCCCAAACAAACTGTGGTACCTATATGCAATGGAATGCCATGCAGCGATAATGAAGAATGAAGAATCTGCAAACGACTTGCAACATGAATGACCTGGAGGACATTGTGCTTAATTAAATCAATCAATCACAGGAGGGAAAATGCTGTACGAGACCACTGTTAATGGCCAGTTGAGAACTGTTTCACACAAAAGGAACGTTCTTCAGGGGTTACCAGGGATGGGAGGGGGAAGAGAGGAAGGCTCACTACCTGGATAGCAGGCACATGTGAATGCTGGTGAAGGGGAAGGTAATGCAGTAACACGGGGACGTCACAGCATGCCCAGGCAAAGGCACACTCTGAGAGGTCTGCAGAATAAAGGGCCTCTACAGTAAATACCGTAACAAATATAACCTGCAGCAGGAGTGAAAAAACATACAGAAGTAGTATGCATGCTACATAGGGGCGAAAGGCCATACAGTACTACACACAAGCATATATAGGGCTATGGCTGTGAATGTTTCTACATACATATTTATATATGCTACATGCATATTCATATGCATATAATAGAGCATAGGGGTGATAGTTATGGATACTTCTTAGCTATAACCAAACATCTCTCAGTACTGATTGAGCTACTGGTCTTAAAGTCTAAGGACCAGAGTCTCAGGGTACATTTAGACCAACTGGCATAACCCAGTACATAAAGGCAGAACTATACCTCCTAGTTTGCTGAGTAGTATCGGGGGTCCTAAAGCTTTTGAGTGGCCAATATCTAAGACACAGCTATTGGTATCTTTCTGCCCAGAGCAGAGAAAACACTCAAAGAAGCAATTAGTCCAAAGAGAGAGAGAAAAAAAATCAGACTTGCTGGTTTCTTAGATTGAGACAAAGGAAGGGCAACATTTCCCCCAAAACAAAGATGAGAAGGCAGGGAGGGGCAGGGAAGGTGCCGACACAGCACGCAGATTGCAGTCAATATTGCGGAACAATTTGTGCATCAATTATTGAATGAGCAACTCATTTACTCCATAAACGTTCCCCTCAAGCACAAGGAAATGTGAGACAGAAAGAAGCCCAAGCAGCTTCTTTTGGTTGTTTCCACCTCTCCCATCTACAGCAGAGCGGTGAACATTATAACGTGGCTGAAAAGGCACCAAACATTGTTTTTATTCTCTAACAGTTTGGGCTGAAACATTAGATTGCATCCACACCTACTATTCTTGAAAGGTCCCAGTATAAATCAGTGAGACATTATATTTTCAGCTCATGGTTAGCCTCTCAGTGTTGTGAACACTGCCCCGGCCCC